TGAAGTGGAATTAATTGTCGGCCGCGGCTTCCTCCCCTGGGCTGGGGGGCTCGCAGTTCCGTGGAAAGCTTTGCTGCTCGTCGCACATATCCAACAGCTCGGCAAATCTCACGGTGAGTAGCTGAGCCGGGCGCGGTCTTGCCCCGCCCAGTCGGCCCCCGCCGCGCTGTCATCCTCCTTTGCCAGCCATGCGAGTCCTGCGAGGTCCATGGGCATCAGGGCACTGGTGCACGGCGCGGCGGGGTCGGCTTACCAAGGCGGGGGCGGCTCGCGAGCGCCCGCAGGGGGCGGCGGTTGGACCGAAAGATCGCTGCGATCGCAATTCCGCTGCGACCCATATCTGCGCGGACGGGGCGGGCTGATCCTGCGTCGTCGCTCCGCCGCCCCCTTGAGTCAAGGACAGAACGACCGCCCCCCTGAGTCCGCGCCCCCGCGCGTGGTCTTACACCGCCCCCAGGGCGGGGGAGCTCGAGGGCAAGCCCCCCCGGCGCTGGGCCCCGCGGCCCAGCGGCCGATTCTCGTTCCAGGCCATCTTCGCCGTCGCTGGGCCCCCCCGCCAGCGCGGCGGCAGCGCGCCCCGGCTCGGCCCCCGAGGGCGCCCGTAGCTCAGGAGTGCGTCGCTGGGAGGGCCCTGCCTATAGCTCTGCCTCGCGGCACGCCCTGGAGCACGACGCGGCCGCCAGCTCCCGCGACGTTGCGCGCGCGGTTCGAGGGGCCGCAGCCATCCGAGGGCGCGCCGTCGAGTTTGCCGTGGCGCCCCGTCTCGGCAGCGCCGGGTGCCCCCCCAAGCCTGGGCGGGGCCAAATGGGATTGATAAGGTGATATCGTCGGGTGGCCCCCCAGGGACGTGGCCGGACGGGGCGGGTGGACAGCTCGCGTCGTCTCCCCCGCTCGGTAGGCGACTGATCGTCGCGAGCACACTGATAAGATGGGGCGCCCCCTGCCCCCCCCCCAGGCCGACGTCTGGCGCCCCGAAAGCCGGAGGTGTTGGGGGGTTCGCGGTCGGGCGTGCGAGTGAACATCGCGCCTTCATATGGCGCGCGTTCCCACCGTGGTTGGTGGCTGATCGCCGCGTGCACATCAAAATTAAACAGAAAAATTAGGGGGGCCGTCGTCTCCTGACGCGCGGCCCACGATCGGCGTCGGCGCGCCCGCAGCCTCAACCACCCCGCTAGCGCGATCCGAAACGAAATCACCCGTGCGAGGGGAACGCGCGGCCGAGGCGCCCGAGCGATCGCACGCCGCATGCGCCCCCGAAGGATCCGAGGTCTCGAGTGTCAGCAGGCAGTGCGAGGGCCCCCAGGCCTCGCGCTAACCCTTCACATTCGTCCCCAACATCGGCCCCCAGGGCCCTATGGCGGAGCGCCCGTCGCTCTCGCCCTCCACCCCCAGGTCGCCGATGGCTGAAGCGAAGACAGAGGGGGGTAGCAAGCTCCTCCGGCGCCGACGGCGCCCGCGCGGCGCAGCCCGCCCACGCGCGAGGCCGGCCCACCCGCGCAGCGCACAGGCGCCCCCTCGAGCCCTGGCCCCAGGGGGGGAACACCCCCCAGGAGAAGGCTTGAGCCAGAGGGGGCACGGCACAGGCGGGGATACTGTTAAATCAGCGGCCGCAGGCGAGCGCGCCAGCGGCGAGCCCGGTCAATGCGGGGCACGCAACGACGAAATAACCTAAAGCAACGGGGCGCGCCCTCACCTGAAGCGGCTAGGCGGAGCCGCGCGCAGCACCTCAGCGGCGGACCGGCGAGTGGAGGGGGCTTGCTGATACTGAGTAGCACTGCCAGCGCGCACGTACGCAAGGCGTCGGAGGCGCCAGGTAGTCGGGAAGAACAACGACCAGAGACAGAGACCGAGAAAATGATGCAAGAGCGCAAGCCCCAGGACAACTGCGAGAGTACCAGGGTGGCCGCAGCCAAGAGGACCGACTGTCGGAAGTCGAATTGGTGCCCGGCGCGGGCGCGAGCGCCGGCAGGCTGCGAGGAACCAGGGTGGCAGCAGCCGCAAAGTCCGACGGCGGCAGAACGCGCGGGCGCGAGAGGCAGCCATGCTGCCGCGCGGCCAAAATGGCGCGGGTCACCACGAACAAGCGCATGGGGTAGCGCAAGCAAAGTCGCACACCAAAAGCCCTGACGAGGGACGGATCACGAGCCCGCAGTCAGCACACCGGAAGTGGCGACAGCCGACACCACGTGGAGGACCCGGGACTGAAACCACGGCTGCAAACGCGGCGTGGCAGGAGCACGGAAAGTCTACTAAGCTGAACCACAGACGGCCGTAGGCCCCGTCGAAGGGGGGAGAAACCGCGACTCGGGCGGGAAAGCAGGACGCTAGGGCGGTGGGGGGCGACGCCACCGAACGGCGGGGAGAACGGGGGCCCAGCCGAGGGGGGTGACACCCCGACGCGGCGGCCCACCCGGAGGCGCGGGGAAGGGACTCGCCAGGAATGAAAACAACTACAGCAGGCCTGAGGCCTATGGGGGACAGGTGGGCCACAGCCCCAGCGGTAGCCCACGAGCCAGTATTGTCAGCAGCAGGCCACCGCCCGAGTTCCCAAGGGCGGGGAGCAGCGGGGGCTGGGCAGGGAGTGGCACCAGGGGTGGGGCACCAGGGGTGGGGCACTGCCTGCATGTCCAGCGACGGCCACAGCAAGGACTGCAGCAGACGCGTCTAGGGTCAAACAACGGGGGCTGTCGTCGGTGGCCATCGCTCAAGCCGCCGTCCAAAAGTGATGTCGGAGGTCCACCCCGGACGTTGCTAGCAGCCACTGCTCGATGCTCAGGAAGGAGAGGGCCGAGGGCCGCGGGGGACAGGTGGACCACGGCCCCGGCGGTGATCCACGAGCCAGTATTGTCAGCAGCCTGCTGTCCTTGTTCCCGAGGGCAGGGAGCAACGAGGGCTGGGCAAGGAGTGGCACCAGGGAAGGAGCACCGCCTGCAAGTCGGACGACGGCCACAGCGAGTGCTGCGGGAGTCGCGTCTAGGGTGAAACAAGCGGGGGCCGCCGTCGGAGGCCCCCGCCCAAGTCACCGTGCATTCGCGATGTCCGAGGTCCAAACCAGGGGTGGCAAACGGCCTCTGCATGATGTCTAAGAACGGACGTGCGAAACCCTTGGCCTAACGGGCCCTGTTATAAATGAGAAGAGCGATAATCTCGAAACGCGTTCCTTCGTGGCCTAACGGGCCCTGTTTTAACTGAAGAATAAAAGGCAAAGCCACGGCGAGCCCGGCAGGCCTGACATACCTGCACCACTTGGAGAGGACAGCTGCGGTCGGCTGCCCTCCGGGGCGTCAGGTCGGCGTCCGGTCAGGTGCGTCGGGGCAGGTTCGGCTGGGTAGCCGTCGGCGGAGCCAAAACAGTGCCAGAAAAGCGCCCGTGATCATGGTGCGGCGCAGCGGGGCCCGACGGTGTGCAGGGGTTGGGGCTTCATCGCCATGTACGGGAGCGCTTGTCCCCTTTCCCGTCACTGCTGTCGTCACCGCCGCGTTTACCCGCGGCCTGCCAATCCTCGCCATCCCAGGCCTGCGACCAGGACCATGGGTCCCATACCCAAGGTTGGCGTGAGCTTGTGGCGTAACCCTTGTACTGTGGGGCGCTGGTGCCCTGGTATCCTGACCACTTGTCGCGCTCCCGTTCCCATATGACCTGGAGCCCACGTTTGCGGTCCATCTCGTAAGCATCATACCCGCAGCGTCTCCAGGCGTCAAAGATAGCATTGGCACGTGCCTTCAGGGCTCAGCGCAGGGTCGCTCTTCGGGACGTTGGCCCCTGCTGGGTGCATGCGGGTGTAGGCATGCCAGATGCTGCTGAAGACTCCCTCCAGGGTTATTTGGAGGCGGGAGATCTTGGCTGCGGGTGTTTCCGCGGTCTTGTCGAGATCGACATTGCCCAATCGTTCCTTGTACATGGGACCCCCTCCGATGGGATCGACAAGGTCGTCAAAGACCCGCTTCGAGCCCCATTCGCGGGGGTTGGCGAGCGGCGGTCTCGAGCTGGCTGTTTGGGGTTGCGGCTGAGGGCCTGGGGCGGGCTGACTGGAGCTGCCTGGCTGGAAGCGACGATCGCGCCACCACGGGGGGGAGGGGAACGACTGTCTGACGCTGCTGCTGGTGAGCTGCTGTTCTCCGGCTTGCGAGCAGGGGAGGGTTGCCTCTGTGGAAGGTCGTGTGTCACCTTGGGCGGTGGGCTGGCTCTGACGTTGCCCCTCGGCTGGCGTCGCTCGGGCGGGCCCTCGCTGAGGCGTCGGGCGTCTGATCCGAACGCCCCTAGCGGGTTGTCGGGAGGGCTGCCGCCGGTTGCTTCGCGAAGCGTCAAGAATCTCACCAGCTCTTTGGGCGCAGGTGGTTTGGAGAGTTGTGTGCTCTCTTTGCCACATTTCCTCCATCCCCTGCTCGCGGGATTCGGTTACCCCTCCCCCCACCCCCCCCGTTGGGCCTGGTAGGGGGACTGGGGGTGGGGCGACCCATTGGACCGCAGATGATGGCCGAAAATGGTCCCAAGAAGGCCTCAGTGCCCAAAGTGGCCTCCAAGATTGCCCAAGGTACTTCAAGATGGCCCAACGAAGCTTTTGACGCACATCGAAGAGGCCTCAGGACGGCCCCAGGACGGTTTCAAGTGCCCTTCGAATACGGACCTTCCCAATAACCCCAAACTTTAAGAGGGACATGTGTGTGGTTTGTTTCGGATGCCGCAATATGGGCCCCCAAATACGCCCAAGAGTTTCCAACAGCGGCTTGAGATGGCCTCCCGACGGAATGTTTGACCCTCCGCGGAGTGGACCTGAATTGAGAACCCCCTCTTTTTGAGCCACAGGGCAAAGACGACCCCCAAAGGCCTCCCCAACACCCCCAGGGGCCCAAGATTCCTCACCAAAAGAACCCCACAGGTCCCCAAGAGTGCCCCAACAGGCTTCGCGAAAACCCCAAGAGAGACCCAATATTGCTCCCAAGTACCTCCGAGAAAACACTTCCAGGGCGGATGTTACACTGCATGATTCTACACTTTCCTGATCAATGCAACTCGCCTGGCGATCTAATGTTTCTGGATAGGCTGGTGGGGATTTTGTGATCGCGAGCGCAAACGGAGAAGCCGCGCGCCGTCCAGAGCTACCGCTCACCAGCAGAAGCCCAAATTGCACACTAGAAAGGAGAAGACAGACAACAGGAGAACAGCAAGAGGAGCTGGTGGGGGATACTTTTTAGTCAGCGGCCGCAGGCGAGCGCGCCAGCGGCGAGTCCAGTCAGAGCGGGGCGCGCACAGACGAATTAACCTAAAGCGGTGGGCCAGAGCCTCACGCAGCACCTCAGCGGCGGGCCGTCGAGTGGAAAAGGCTGGCGGTAGGCTGGATACCAGTACTGCCAGGGTCACATGCAATGAGTCGAAGCAGCGGGCGGCCAGGGTAACCGGCAACCAGGTATAGCTGCAGACGGCAAGTAGCTGCGAGGGCGCAAGCCCCACTCCTGGTGGGGGTACGCGAAGCGCCCAGAATTCCTTCTCCCAGTTCCGCTTCGCCTTCATCCCGCGAGCCAGCCACCTTTTTGCGTCAGCGGCGAGCTTGGCGAGCTCCTGAGCAGCCGGCTCTGTCAAGCACAGGTTCTGCCTGCTCGCCCTGCGGAGAAGCCGATCCAGCTCCTGGCGCCGACGACGCCGACTTTGACAACGACGCTATAAACGACGACAGTGCTGACGACGACGACGACGACGACGACGACGACGACGACGACGACGACGACGACGACGACGATGACGGTCCAGCTCCTGGCGTCGCCGGGGCCTGTCGAGCACCTCACGGACCTGCTCGAGCAAGGAAGCGTTGACCTCCGAGATGTGCCGCAGCCTGTTCACGGCGCCTCCCGTGAGGTGCAGATCCCGCGCCCATCGCAGGACTCCGAGCAGCTCCTTCCATGGCTGTCCAAAGGCTGCGCTTCATCGCAGGTCGCCCGACCAAGGCGGAAACCGCCCTTCGGCAATATAATGTTGATCGGATCAATCGACGCCGCGAGCAAACATCGGCACGCGTTGTCGAATCGCTCAGGTCCAGAAAATGGCCCACACTAGATTGATCGGAGCATCAATACGGTTTCCAGGATCGATTCGCCCCTGCGCGTTTTAAGAGTCCCATACGAAAAGGAGTTGCGAAGGAGTCGTTACTGCAGAGGTCCTTACTGAGGGATCCTCACTCTGGATGCCCCACTAAAGGGATCCTTCCTAAGGATTTCTTGATAAAAAAACACGTCCTTACCAATCCGAACTAAGCATTCCTCACTCAAGGAATGCTCACGAAAGATCCCGTATTAAGAAGCCCACATCCTTTGTAAGGACTCTTTACAAACGAAAAAGTCCTTAATGCAGGGGCCCGTTCCGCCCGAGGATACCCTTCACTAAAGCCACCCCCACCATGGAGGCCTCACTCGATACAACCTTACGAAGGATCCATTCCCAAAGGTGTCCTCGCAAATGATCCGCTGCTAAAGGAAGAAGCATGGGCAACTACCCTTTCTACACGGATCCATACTGAGGAGATTCGTACTCAAGGCGTCCTCACTAAGGACTCATCACTAAAGGGATCCGTACTGAGAGCCCCGAATTCCACTGGCCCTTTCGGGCGCGAGTGGTTTAGGCAGGGTCATCATCCACCCCGCCCTTTGGGGGACGCTTGTGAGGCTGCGTTGTGAGTTGGTCCCGTCGCCTGCAAAAGAATCTAATGGCCCAGTGGCCACTCCGATTTTGCCGAAATGTCAGCGCGGCCTGGCCCCAGGGATATCTCCGAGATGGGTTAGCCCAGGCGCGATAAAACCCCTCCCCACGTGTGAAAGCACCGCATAAACAGCGCGGCATTTGAGCTGACTTGCTCATTTTTCGCATGCCAACTGTCAGCCTCGTGCGCCTGCAAAGCTCTGCCGCCGCCGCCGCCGCCCATTTTCCCCTTACCCCTTACCCCTTCCCCCCGGCGACCCGCAGCCAATCAGGACGAATACTAACACATCTCCCCAACCCTGTCAATTCGCCAGGCGAAGGACCCAACCATATGTTGTTGTGAATACCGCAACTGTGAATATCATCTCCGCCCGCGCTCCCTGCAGGGCCACGAACCGTGTGAAGGGCGCGTCAACATGCGTGGCGGGGCACACACCGGAAGCGATGACGATAGGTCTGTGTGCGAGAGACTGAGAGCGAGTGAGTATGATTGTTGATGAATGCGTGCGCGCATGAGTCTACGTGCATGAATGTCGACGCCCATGTCGGCACGCCTCTCACGAGGATCGTGCCCGCTTCATCATTCCCTTTGATATTTCCCCAGTTTGCCCGTGCACGCCCACGTCCAAGGCTGCGGGCACGGCGCCGCGCGGAGTCCCCGCGACGCGCGCCGGTCGCCCCGAAGGGGTCCCGGCGACGCGCGCGGGTCGTCCGCTGCGCGGAGCAGAGAGAGCGAGCAGGCTGGCTCCCGCCCGGGATGCGCGGCCCGAAAGCGGCCTCAATACGTCGAACACAACGAAAATCATCTGAAAATCGAATGTCGCCGCCATGCGAACTCCGCCACTGGGCCGCCATGCCAGTTCCGCCATGGAATCATTATGTGGCGTTCCCTGTGGGGACACGAAACGCTGTACTGGGTGGTGGATAACGCACGCGGGCGGTCCCACTGGAGCCTTCGGTGGAGCTCCCTATGGGGTCACGAAGCGCTGTGCTCGGTGGTGGATAGCGCATGCGGGCGGTCCCACTGGGGCCTTCGGTGGAGCCCTCTGTGGGGCCACGAAGCGCTGTACTGAGTAGTGGATGGCGCATGCGGGCGGTCCCACTGGAACCTTCGGTGGAGTTCTCTATGAGGCCAAGAAATGCTCTGCTGGGTGGTGGATGACGCACGCGGGCGGCCCCCTCGGGGCCCCTGGTGAATCCCCATGGGCCACGAAGCGCTGTGCTGGGTGGTGGATGACGCATGCGGGCGGCCGCACTGGGGCCTTCGGTGGAGCCCCCTTATGGGGCCACGATGCGCTGTACTGGGTGATGGATGACGCACGCGGGCGGTCCCACTCGGGCTTTCGGTGGAAATCCCTATGGGGCCACGAAGTGTTGTGCTGGGCGGTGGATGACGCATGCGGGCGGCCCCGCTGGAGCCTTCGGTGGAGCTCTCTATGGGGCCACGAAGTGAGGGAGGGGGGGAGGAAGGAAGGAATGAATAACGCGGGGGCCGTCTCTTCAAAACGAGAACCCACACCACAGGATGGTTGGGAAAAACCATACGAAGCACACGTTGGGGCAAAACCTTGGGTCATGCTCGTGGGCCCCACGAGCACTTCGCATTGTTTTCTGGCCCGATCGGCGGAAGGCCTCAGTTTGCCTGCTCTGCGCCAGACCACCACCCCTGTCCAGCAAGCCTGGCGAAGGACACAACCATATGCAGCTGCGAACACCGCAATTGTGAATATCATTTTCGCCCGCGCCCCATGCGGGGCCACGAACCGTCGCGGGGCACGCAACGCGAGCGAAGACGATAGGTCCGTGCGCGAGACTGAGAGCGAGTGGGTGCGATTGTGGATGAGTCTGCGCGCGCGTGAGTCTACGTGCATAAATATCAACGCCCATGTCGGCGCACCTCTCGAGAATCGCGCCCGCTTCCTTCCCGTCACTCTTCTCCCTCTTTGCCCGCGCGCGCCCGCGTCCAAGGCCGCGGGCGCGGCGCCGCGCGGAGTCCCCGCGACGCGCGCTGGGCGACGCGCGCGGGTCGTCCGCTGCGCGGAGCAGAGAGAGCGAGCAGGCTGGCTCCCGCCCGGGATGCGCGGCCCGAAAGCGGCCTCAATACGTCGAAGACGACGAACAAGCTCCGGAAATCGAAATTCGCCGCCATGCGAACTCCGCCACTGGGCCCCGCGCAAGGTCCGCCACGGAGACCTTCGGTGGAGCTCCCTGTGAAGACACGAAGCGCTGTGCTCGGTGGTGGATGGCGCATGCGGGCGGTCCCACTGGGGCCTTCGGTGGAGCCCCCTATGGGGCCACGAAACGCTGTACTGGGTGGTGGATGACGCATGCGGACGGTCCCACGGGGGCCATCGGTGGAGCTCCCTGTGGGGCCACGAAATGCTGTGCTGGGTGGTGGGTGACGCACGCGGGTGGTCCCAGTGGAACCTTCGGTGGAGCCCCCTATGGGGCCACGAAGCGCTGTACTGGGTGGTGGATGACGCATGCGGGCGGTCCCTCTGGGGCCATCGGTGGAGCTCCCGATGGGGCCACGAAGCGCTGTGCTGGGCGGTGGTTGATGCATGCGGGCGGTCCCACTGGGGCCTTCGGTGGAGCTCCATATGCGGTCGCGAAACGTGTTGCTGAGTGGTGGATGACGCATGCGGGCGGCCCACTGGGGCCTTCGGTGGAGCCCCCTATGGGGCCACGAAACGCTGTGCTGGGTGGTGGATGACGCAAGCGGGCGGTCCCACTGGAGCCTTCGGTGGAGCCCCCTATGGGGCCACGAAACGCTGTACTGGGTGGTGGATGACGCATGCGGGCGGTCCCACTGGAGCCTTCGGTAGAGCCCCCTTTATAGGGCAACGAAACGGCGTGTTGTGGTGGATGACATACGCGGGCGGTCCCAGGGGAGCCTTCGGTGGAAGCCCCAATGGGGCAACGAAACGCTGTACTGGGTGGTGGATGACGCATGCGGGCGGTCCCAGTGGAGCCGTCGGTGGAGCTCTCTATGGGGCCACGAAACGCTGTACTGGGTGGTGGATGACGCATGCGGGCGGTCCCACTGGAGCCTTCGGTGGAGCCCCCTATGGGACCACGAAATGAAGGGGGAACGGGAGGAGGAGGAGGAGGAGGAGGAGGAGGAGGAGGAGGAGGAAGGAAGGAAGGAAGGAAGGAAGGAAGGAAGGAAGGAAGGAAGGAGGGAGGGAACGCGGCGAGCGTGTCTTCAGACGAAAAACCCAACAACACAGGCTGGTTGGGAAAAGCGATACAACATGCATTTCGCGGGTAGATCTGGATCATGCGCGGCCACCCCGCGATCCCTGCCCACCGGTGTTCAGCAAGGACCTCGGGGGTGCTGGCATATTGCCTGTTGTGCGCAGGCCCACCAGACACCATGATGGCCTCCCCGCCGCGATTGCGCAGTGGTTTTCGACAAGGATGGTGGGGGGCGCCAGGTTTCCCGATGTATGCTGTCACGCGCGCGGGCGCCAGTGGCACGCTCTGCGCGTGACCTGGGCGTGGCGCACCCGGCACAGCCGCGCCGTGGCGCGCGCGGAGCACGCGGCACATCTGGCGCGCGAGGCGTGCCTGGCACGCTTGGGCCCCAGGGGTGACCGGCCACCTGGAGCGCCTGACATGCGTGGCGCACCTCGCCCCATCGCGCACATGGGGTCTGCATTGGTCCCCAGCAGCTGCCCATCCATGGACGACCGCTGAACGCGCTGCTGCCCGGGTACTTTTCATGTGCTGGGGGGGCGGGTGGGCGTGATCGGGGCAGCCTGCAGGCGAAGACGGCGTCTTGATCACTGTTCCCTATTAGTATACGCTCCCTTCCCCCTGGCGACGGGCAGCCAACCAGGAACCGTGAGGGCCCTTTGCTCACCCGCCCGCACCATCCCAGTCCAAATTAGCCTGGCGAAGGACCCAACCATACGCAGTTGCGAGTGCCGCAATTGTGAATATCTTCTTCGGCGGCGCCCCCTACGGGGCAACGAACCGCACGAGGGGCGCGCCGAATTGCGTGGCGGGGTACACAACACGAACGAAGACGATACGTCGAATTACGAGAGACTGAGCGCGGGTGGAGTCTGAGCGCGAGTGAGTCTGAATGTGAATGAGTCTGAGTGCGGGCGAGTACATCTGCGTCAATGCGATCATGGTCACGCCTGGTGTGTATATATATATATATATATATACTAGAACCATCGCGCGCGCTTCGCGCGTGCTCAAGTTCTAGCCCAGGCCTGGGGGGCGCTGGAATATCTTGGACAGCGCTATCAAACACAGGCGCGTGACACGTGACATAGTCGTGCCTCCTGAGGGCCTCTTGGGGAACTCTTGGGTCTTCGTGGGGCCATTTGAAAGGCCATTTCAAGGGGGTTCCTCGATTTGCTGTTGGAGGCACTTCTTGGGTGTTTCTTGGGGGGGGCGTCTTGGGGATTCTTAATTAGGGTCCCTTGGGAGCATCGTCGGGTTTTCTCCGGGCAGTCCGAAGGTGATGTTCTGCAATCTGAAGCCGTCATTTGCCATCTTGGCTGCGGGGAGGCCCGACTTGAGGGCGCCTGGGGCCACACTGAGGCAATCCGGAAGCCTCCCAGGGGCCTCCTGCAGAAAGTTCTGGTGCATCGAAGGCGTCGCGGGCTGCAGGGCCGCGCGCGGCGCCAGCGCCTGGTGGAGGCGGACGGGAGGAGCCGCAGGCCCAGAGTGGCACGATCGCGCCGTAACAAAATAATCACAACGGAAAATGTTGGACCGTTTTCGGAAGAAGGGAAAACGCCATAAACAGAAACTGTCTGCGCTCCGCGCGGATTTCTTGGATTTGCGCTGGACCCCCCTCCCGGGCGCGCGGAGCGCGCCAGGGGCGGCGCCTGAGGCGCCGCGGGGGGGGGCCCCGCGCGGATCCAAGAAATCTGTGCGGAGCGCCAAAATATATGTTTATAGCGTTTTTCGGAAGCGCGGCACCTACAATGGAGGCCAGCCCATAGGAAACCCAACCCTGAGACCCCAAGACCCCCATGGTTTCTTGTCGTGGGAACATCGCGCATTTCTTTATCCATCGTTAACCATCTAACCATCAAAACTCAAAAAATCCAGGGCGCCCTGGAGGCGAGCACGGTGTTCTTCTGGCATGGGCCTCCACTCCGAATGGCCGCCGCTCCTCCTCTGCCCCCCTGACAGTGTGAGCCCCCTCGCCCAAGCCCGAGGCCCCGCGGAGGGATGCCCTGGGCGACGAAGAACACCGGGGCCCCCGTCCAGCATCCCGCCGGCCCTCTGGGCGTGAGCGGTTTGGCCGGCTACCCTTTCCGGAGGGGGAGGAAGAGGAGGAGGAGGAGGGGGAGGAGGAGGAGGAGGAGGAGGAGGAGGAGGAACAGGAAGGAGAGGAGCACGAGGAGGAGGAGGAGGAGGAGGAGGAGGAGGAGGAAGAGGAGGAGGAGATGGAGGAGGAGGAGGAGGAGAAACAGGAGGGAGGGAGGGAGGGAGGGGCGGCGGGCTGCCCGAAGAGAAATTTACCCCCTCCGGGGAGGGGCTCACCCCGCGGGGAGGGGATGACCCCTTCCCACTTTTCCCCATGCTGAAGCGAGCTTCCCATCCCCCCCTCCCCTCTTCATCCCCCCCCACCCTCCTCCTCACCCGCGCCCTCTTCCCTGGGCCGCGACTGGGTGGAGCGAGCAAGATAGCCTCAGCGAGAAAGCAAATTCACTGATTTTGTCGTTCGGGGCCCGTTCTGGCTTAAACACCCCCCCTTTTTTTGATCGAAGTCCTCCGGGATGGCCCTATGATGCCCCCCAAGGCTCCCAAGTCTGCCAGGGGAAGGCCCAACGGAAAACTGCAAAAACTACTTGTTGATTTTCATGCGTGGACGAAGAACCGGCCCCAGGGGAAGGGCCGGGACATCCGGGGACCGCGCGCTGGGGAAAAATCGCGACATCGGATGTCTGGGGCCCTCGGCCGCCGCGGCCCCGCGGGCGGGGCCGCCCGGCGCCTCCCCGCCGCGGCCCTCGTCGGCAGATCTCCGACGTCGTGAAAAAACACAACCAAGATTTTCGCGATTTCGGCTGTAGAGGAGCCCCTAGAGAGCCCGGGGACTGTCAAAAAACGGCCCAACACGAAAAAACGTCCCCGACGAAAGGGCCGGGACCGCCGGGGACCGCGCATTGAAAAAAAATACGACTTTCGGTGTCTGGGGCCCTCGGCCGCCGGAGCCCGGCGAGCGGGGCCATGGCCCTCGTCGGCAGATCTCCAACGTCGTGATAAAATCACGACGCAAATTTTCTGGGCTTTCGGTTTCCAGGAGCTCCCGACGGGCCACGCGGCTGTCGAAAAACAACTCGGGGCGAAAAACCGGTCCTGGGGAAAGGGCCGGGACCTCCGGGGACCGCGCATTGAAAAAATCACGACATCGGATGTCTGAGGGCCTCGGCCGCGAGAATGTCAAAAAATACATTGTAACAGAAATCAGCGATTTTGCCCTCTCGGGGCGCTCTTGGGGGCGTCTTGGGGGCCTCTGGGGCAATTTAAAACGCATCGTGCGGCCTCTTGGGGGCTGCGTAGGGCCTCTTGGGGGGTTCCTGGGGGCCTCTTGGGGCCTCTCGCAGCTATCTTGGGGCGGAGAACATGATTTTTCAATTCGCGTTCCCTGTCTTGGGCCCCTCTTAGGGCCTTCTTGGGACCCTCTTGCGCCGTCTTGAGCGGCTCTGGGGCCGTCTCGGGGCTCACTTGGGCCGTCTTGGGGCTCTCTTGGGAGCCTCTTGGGCCATCTGGGAACGGTTTGGGGAGCCTCTTGGGCGGTGCTTTAGCGCCAGAAGCACGAAACAGCGAGAACGCAAACAACATGGAAAAAAACACGTGACAATCAACGATTTTGCCCTCTCGGGGCGCTCTTGGGCGGCATCTTAAAGGCCTCCTGGGGCGTCTTGGGGGCCTTTGGGGCAACGTAAAACGCATCGTGCGGCCTCTTGGGGGCTTCGTGGGGCCTCCTGGGGGTTTCCTGGGGGCCTCTTGGGGCCTCTTGCAGCCATCTTCGGGCGGAGAACTTGATTTCTCAGTTCGCGTTCCCTCTCTTGGGCCCCTCTCGGGGCCTTCTTGGGGCCCTCTTGCGCCGTCTTGAGCGGCTCTGGGGCCGTCTCGGGGCTCTCTTGGGCCGTCTTGGGGCCCTCTTGGGGGCCTCTTGGGCCGTCTTGGAATGGTTTGGAGAGCCTCTTGGGCGGTGCTTTAGTGCTGGAAACACGAAACAGCGATAATGAAAACAACATTGAAATAACAATGACAATCAACGATTTTGCCCTCTCGGGGCGCTCTTGGGCGGCATCCTAATGGCCTGTTCGGGCGTCTTGGGGGCCTCCGGGGCAATGTAAAACGCATCGTGCGTCGCCAGAGGCCCCTGGACGGCGTCTTAGGGGTGTCTCGAGACCGTCTGGGGCCGCCGGGATTGCTGTCTGAAGGCTCCCCGGGGCAATTTTAGGCCTCCCAGAGGCGGGCCCGGGGCACATGACCAAGCTGTTTGCGCAGTCGTCTAATGGCGATCCGTGCGCGTCGCCCTAGAGCATTGGCGCTCCTTCCGAGCGCGTTCCGGCAAGATTCTTCTGGAACGCGCTGCGCGACGAGGAATCATTCAGAGAGGAGGAAAAGGGAGGGAGCAGGAGACAGAGCTGGAGGAGGAGAAGGGGAGGAGGAGGAGGAGGAGGAGGAGGAGGAGGAGGAGGAGGAGGAGGAGGAGGAGGAGGGGAAATGGGAGGAGGAGGAGGGAGGGGTGCGAGGAAGAGGAGGAAGAGGAGGAGGAGGAGGCGGAGGAGGAGGAGGAGAGGACGGAGGAGGAATAGGAGGAGGGTCAAAAAGAGGACGACGAGGGCACATCAACAGCAACATGAGCAGAGGGAGGACGACGACGATGAGGAGGGGAACCTCCGCGCTCCTGCTGAGCATGTTCTGACCAGACTCCCAGACCGCTCTGGGCGAGAAGGAACGCGCTGAGACTCGAGAAGACAACAAGCTGAAACCAGAGAACAAAGGGAGAGCAAACAAAAAGGTAGGAAGAGGAGGGGGAGGAGGCAGCGGCGTCAGCAACATGAAGAGGATGACGAGGAGAAGGAGGAGGATGGGGAACCTCACTGCCCGAGCCCAAACAAGTGGCACGTGCGCCATAGCCCTTGCACAAAAAGGAAGGGGGAGGAGGAGGAGGAGGAGGAGGAGGAGGAGGAGGAGGAGGTGTGTATGGGGTTGAAGTACAAGAGTACAGAACCCCTGATCCGTTGGTAGAGAGATGGAGGGATAGATGGATATCTTTCCCTCCCAAGCGATCAAGGTACGATCGCTCAAACTCAGTACCTGAGCCCAAACGGCCAGGTGCGGGAGAGGTAAGGATAAGGAGTATATATGAGGGTATTACACGGGTTCCATACACACCCCCCGTCCCGAATCCCGCCCGTGAAGGCAGGACTCGGGATCAGCAGGATGGAATCCGTAACCTCTGAACTCCTTTACCTTAAGTCTGAAAGGCAGCTGGGCTAAAAGTCAGCGGAGCCCAGTTGCAAGTTGAGGTAAGAAGAGATACCTTGGGTCTCTTTTTCTTCTCCAGGCGGACTTTGCCGCCCCCTCGGTGCGCCCCCCAACACGCTTCGGCACTCGAGGGAGGAGAAGAATGAGACAAAGGTAGGCGGAGAAAGAAGATCTGAGCACCAAGGCAACATGTAAACTGCCTCGCAAGATTTGCGAGGCAGGTGTTGCCACCAGCTAGCAGATTATTCTCGACGCAATATTGTTGAATTGTTAAAATACGCATGCTAAGATCGCGTTGACGAGCACAATCTTGAAATCAAACACAAGTCTGCCTAAAAGCAAATGTATGCCAAGATCGCGTTGACGAACACGATCCTGAAAGAAATGCAAATCTGTGTTAAAGCAAGTACCTGGCCAGGAAAAAATGTCGTGTTGATGAACACGAAAATGATGTATAAAAATCTGTTTGGCGACTCCCGTTGGCGTTGCTCCTTAGGAGGCTGCCTCGGTGATCGCAAAAGATATCTATATGTGTGTATGGCCACTTGTGTGAAAGATTGAAGTGGCCTAAAAGAATGTATTAGCCACCGCTCAAGGCGAACTTTGATGAGCGGAAGTTCTGCTCTTGAGCAGTGGGCCTTGCGGCCGACTCACTACGCGTCGCCGTCCTTGTAGAACCTGCGGTCCCACACCCTCTGGCCGTTGTACGTCACATAGCTTGTCGTAAACGTTTCCCAAGTGGTCCTCGGGATCCAGTTGCGGAACCAATCGTTGTGCGTGATATCCTGGATGTACACATACTCGTCGTTGTTGATCGCAATGTAGATCCAACATTTGATGTAATAACTCCAGTATCGAAGACCCCAATCGCTGTCCTCGAGTTTGTGGCGCCAGTAAGCAGCGTAATCAGATGTACGTGCTCTCTTGGCGCGCGGCATCGCGGGCATGTAGTCCTCTGCGCCTGAGGCGCTGGATGCAGCGGCGTCGCCAGGAGCAGGGCGCGGCGGCGGCCGCGGCGGCGGCCGCGGCTCCATGGCGTCATCGGACTGTCGGGAGTGTGTATCTGGATCGGTTATCATCCCTGTACGACCCCCCCTCTGGTCAGTGTGTGGCGGATCGAGGGAGCCTATCAGTTCGTTGGCAATCGCGGCAAGCTTGCGCTGGGTGAACTGTTCACGGGTTCCGTCCCTTCGAGGGAGAGAAACCGTAATCAGTCCGCGCGCCTGCCGCGTCTGCCTGTCAATGCGTCCCTCGTTCAGCCACCACTTTCTCCGACCAGCCTGTCCTGTCCTAATACTGACGTCAAGGATGTCCCACGCGTCGCGCATGTCCTCGACTCTCCAGGGCTTCTTGCCGACATTAACGCGGGCTCCTGTCATCTGATGATGGAATCTGAGGTCGTTGAGAA